TATAAATTCCATACTATATATGTGTGTAAACATATTGTGGCATTTTAGAGAAGAATTATATTTTCATAAAAATAACATGACTGAAGTAACTTAACGATACTTTCTTTATAGGAATAAAACAAAATCTAGGACATTCCAACAAATATTACATCTGCAATAGAATTAGTTCTTTTTATTAGTTCTACCAGACTTTCAAAATTTTTAGCAAGTTATAACTCTTCTCTATATACTTATTGTCCACTGTTTTATTTATTGTTTCAATGGTTTATAAAAGTACTAAATGACATTCAATTTAAAGCACATGATATAGACATTACACATGTTTCATAAATCACTTAAAATTACTTTTTCCTTGACAGATCAATTGTTAATGTAGGCATATGGCTTTCAGAGTAATAGAGAAAAAGAGCTAAGTGTAGCATGTTTGCCACATTGCTTGGTTATGGGTATTAATTATTCATATTTCCTCTCCTGTGTCCCTCGAATGTTATTGCAGCAAAATTCCCATCTGCTTGAGCTAGTCTGTAATATCGTCTCTCATGAGAGATATTACCATGGGCTCTATAGCTCATTTTGCTTGAAATATGTCATAGTGTTACCATGGAAGAAATTCATTGCATATCAATCAGCTAAGTTGAGATGGATTGTGGTACCATTCAGTGACTATAAACTTATTTTGCACCTATCATTACACAGGTGCCCAAGAATGTTTTAAACTTTTTACATGCCATTGAATTAACACAAGGTTGAAAAATGGTCCAACATAGCAGCAATTACACCTAGTGTATATTATTTAAAGACCATTGACAGGACTGGATAGTCATAGCTAACATAAAATAAAAATCTGTATTAACTCTTTAGCTAGAGATGGGAAAAATACCTTCAATTTCTTTCTTGTAAATATAAATGTTCTGTGATTTTAGCATATTGTTTGAATTCACAAATCTCAAAGTACCTAACTTTGGAAATATTTTGGTGTGTACACCAGATCACTAAATGTTCACTATCTAGCAATAGGAGGCACTGGGTCCTATATTTACACTTATACTCATTGAGGAACTACAACCATCATTTAACATTTATGAAGACTGCATTATGCTCCTGCAGCATATTAGTAGCACATTGGCTTCCACAATACTACCACCACTAATATGAATTCTGGATTCTGCATTGTAAGGCATTGCTCTAATTGCTTCATGTGGATTGTCTTACAATCATATAGGGTGGAACTCTCTATTTTATAGATGAGAAAGCACAGCCTGTATAGATTAAATAATGTATTCAGGAAATTTAGATGATCTTGGCTGCTTGACTGGGATCCAAAGGTAGTTCTTTCTCTAGAACACATGCTCTTAGTTATCCAACCTGTGTATGCTATGCAACCTCTCAATGCTATTACAACAAAATAAACATTACTCTATGGACAAATGTGTTTTCACTTCCTGTCTCAATTTTCTCCTCCTACACAAACCCTGTTGTGAGTTTCAAAACTCTATATTCTTCACTTTTATATTTTTATCCAGGAACAGTTCTTATAGCCTCATGGAAGATAATTGAAAATGTCTGTGTTTAAAAAAAAAAAAAGAAAAAAAAGAGAAAATGCTACCAATGTCTATTAGAAATACAATAAACTCACCCTCATAAAGGATATTCTCACCAAAATAGAAAATACATGAAAACATGATTGCATTTTTATGACTTTATTTTTAGATTCTATTACAATGTGTAAATCTCAAGTATAACTACAGTATACTTTTTGACAAACTTGAACATTTTGAGCATTCATAGATCTATGAAATCTGAAAAGAATTCTATGTAAACAGCCTTATATTCATAACTATTTGCTTATTTTCATGAAGCAACACTTGATTTTTTTAAAGAATATAATAACATAATAAACCACAGGTATTTTAAAAAGTGGTGGTGTCTAAATACAAATGCCAAACCGAGGTCAATTACTGGGCCATCCTAATTTAGCTGGCCCTCTTTTCATTACTTCCATGAACATTTCTGTGAAGTTTCTAGTAAGGACTGCTTTATTTACAGATGCATTTTTATTTTCAGTCTTCTTAATAAGGCTACCAAAATTCTACAAATTTTTTGAAAATTAGTATTTAGAAACAGTCCATGAGTCACTTTATTCTTTTGCAAACTAGGTTAACAGACAAGGTAAAATGAGATTCTCCCATTTTCATCCAAATTGTATGTAAGGATTTGTGTTCAAACCTGCTTTCTTTAGTTTTTCTTTTTTATATTTTGCAGTGTAAAGATTATATAATTTGTGCATATTAAGACAGTGCATTCAGAGGGTAATATTTTATAATCAGTACAAACAGTAATCTACATGAAAAGAGAAATCTAATTTTATTTCAAGCTTTATTTAATGAGCTTAGTGCCAAATATCAATGTTTAACTGAAAATGTCATGAGGAGGCATTTCAGGGACAAGCATATATTTATAAAACTTAATCCTGTTATATATTTTAAAAAATTATACTTCAGCATGAAATAGAAAAAAGAATAACTTCATAAATTTTTTGAAATGCTAAGAAAAAGTTGTGTTGTGGAACCACTTGCTAGTATTTTTTTATTTACATAAAAATCAGGTGATGTAAAAACATCAACGGTAAACCACAGATCAACCTGCTCACCAAACATCTTTTTATACAGCATTATATAAAAATTATAATGTAATTATGTTTATAATATTATAAAATAATAATGGTAAACTGAATTCAAATTTAAGGGGATGTTAATTTCTTAACTGAATGTATTAAAAAACCTTACGAATGTAATCTATTTTGGATAGTGCTCTAAATTGTCAAAACATACTTTCAACAGGCTTAGTAGGTATGTGATACAATGCCCTATTATATCTACTAAAACACTGCATGGTATCTTTCATATTAAATTAAAAATTGGTTCAAATAGCCTAAGATGAATGATTAAACATAGGTATAAGAATCTTTGGCCCTAGATTTAATTTCTCAGGTACCTTAGGAAAAGGTCTAAAAGTAAGAATCTCCTATATGAATGTTGCAAAATACATCCCCATTTAAAAGTATTCTAGATATAAAGTTCTATGTGTCTCTCACTTTGTTTTGTTAGTCTTTCTTAGGTTGTGTATGTTAATTTCTTCCCTTCTCCATATCTTATTCTCTATCTGTATCTCTTCGTCTCTCTAGGTATGTTTAAATTTCCCTTAGTTAAACTGGGAAGAAGAAAGAATATATATTTTAACTGCTTATTGTATAAATTATAATTTATTATTTAAAATCTAAAATCAAATATATTAAGTATATTTTATATACTTGTTGCAAAATTTCCTCAAAAACCACCACCTACTACATATATTGCTCATTTTTGCCTATTCATGCCTAACTTGATAGAGGAAAGATTTCATGTTTCTAGAATAAACTCATGAGAGAATGTGCCAGGCCCATTTATTTTTAAGTTCCTATTGACAAGGATTTTTTCTTTAAAAAAAAACCCCCTGGATTTCTGATCCTTGGTAGGGTTACAGCTACAGCAACATGAATATGTGCTTTCAAAATTCTAAACCTAGGCTAGTTTACTGATTAATGCAAAATATACTTAATATAATAGTATTAAAGAAAAAGTGGCATCTTCCTTACTTTATAGATGAAAAAAGTAGGTGCAAAAGCATTACTTACACAATTAGTGGCAAGAAAGCAAATTGGCAAGCTTTGCTATTTGTATGCTGTTCATTCATACCGATCACCTGGCAAGCAGGTGTTTAAAAGCCTCTCATATACTATTTAGGATAGTATATAAGTGATGTAGTAAATACTGTGTCCAAGTCTTTATCTGTTCAAACATGTACTATGGTACCAAGTAGCTAATTGCCTGTCAGGAAACATATCATTGAAGGTAAACATCAAATTTGCATTGAGCTTGGGGATGACTAAACAAAACTGCTTAAAGAAGAAGATAAATGTGGTATAAGAGATTAAGAATTGGGCCATTATTCAGTGTTATTGGGCAGCGAGGTCTAGTAGATTGTATAGATAATAGCAACTAGAGCATTTGACAATTGTTTTTTTTCCTTAATTATCTTTATTTGTTTTTCTTTTGAGGATTGTGATATATTCTTTGAATATGTTTTCAAGATCTTTGGTTATTGTATAAATAGAGTGGGATAAAAAATTTAAAAAACAGGATAGTCTGGCAACAGTGGCACGTGTCCCCACTACCAGCTACTCAAGAAGTTCAGACAACAGGACTACTTGAGCCCAGGAGTTCAAGAGCAGCCTGGGCAACATAGCTAGCCAGTCTCAGAACAAAAGAAAAAGACCATCTGAAGCACAATACTCCATAGGTAAGTCTGCGAATCAAGGTGAATGGATATGAGTCCAGGTATATGAAAAGCATTTATTGAAATAAATATCCTTTTATGTTTTTAATCCCATGGCATTTCATAGGCACAAAGAAATTGGTTCTGATGCAATGTAGAATAAATTTAAGCACCTCCGGATATAGAATGACATCTGTATGTGGATAAAGAGTCTACATTTCTTCTATCAGGAATTTCATTGCAAAAGCCAAGACAAAATACTTTTGTTGATTTCCAAACAATAAATATTTTCCTGTGTGTGTTTGTGTCTGTGTGTGCAGGTGTATGAGCACGTGTGCATGTCTGGGCTTTTGTATTTACATGAGCTATGGGGGTAATTATTACCTAATGAAAAGATAACAAGACAGATGTGAAAATGCTCTACATGGTTCTCTGACTTACTAAAAAATCAATTCACCTTTGTTTGTTGCAATCAATAATGTCACCATTCTTACAGAGTAATTTACCAATGCAAAAATAGCCATCTGCTAATGCTTCCCACCATCTTAGTGAATCAGAGCTAGTGACGCACTGCCTTGGAGAATATTTTGATAAAAACTTTGGCATAGACCTCCTTAAAAGAGTCTCGTTAACACAAATAAATCACCTTCCCAGGCTGTAAACAATATATCAAACACAAAGCTCTATTATTTGTCTTCTCCATCTTTCTCTTTGTCTTCCTTTTCTGTTTTGTCTGTTTCATATTTCTCTTTGTCTGGCTTTGTTACACTATCATATGAAGGTGGAGAGATGGTGGATGGAGTTGCATCTGCTTTCTCTGGGCTTGAGTTCTCATTAGCATTATCAAAAACTATATCTTCTTTATTGGGCAAGTCATCATCTTTGTCGCCATCTTTTATGTATATACTTGATATATTTTTGACATTTTGCCTTAAGCGGTAACGTTGGTAAGCACGCTGAATGACAGTAGCAGACACATCCTCTTGTTTTCGTTTTAGTGTAGTTGTGATAGGTTCATAGGACACTTTCGAAGGATTTGCAGACATAAATCTTTCTTCCATCTGTGAACGAAGGACATCCATCTCTCCACTCTCACCCAAAACACGCTTTGTAAAAGCAAATAAGATGTCGAGGCAGTGGATCCGGTCTCCACTGACCATGGGCAAGTCCATGGCAATGAGCTGGACTTTGTTTGGTTTTGCTATGAGAAGAGGAGGATCCAGGGCAGCTGCAAAATCTGAGAGTTTGCTATATTCTATGAACTGAGTCGCATCAGGATCAAACTTCTCCCAAACCTCATAAAACATCTCAAAGTCATCCTCACTCAGGGGCTCTGTACTTTCTTCAGTGGCAACACTGAAGTTCTCCAGGATGACAGCGATGTACATGTTCACCACAACCAGGAAGGATATAATGATGTAGCTGACAAAATAGAAAATCCCAACAGATGGGCTACCGCAGTCTCCTTCAACTGAAGTTCCTGGGTGAACTTTTTTGGGGTCACAGTCAGGAGGTCCACTGTTGAGAATGGGTGCCAGCAATCCATCCCAGCCCGCAGAGGTGGTAATTTGGAACAAGCAGATCATGCTGTTCCCAAAGGTTTCAAAGTTGAGCATGTCATTAATTCCAGCTTCCTTTTTAACATAGGCGAAGTTGGACATTCCAAAGATGGCGTAGATGAACATGACCAGGAAGAGCAGGAGGCCGATGTTAAACAATGCAGGCAGGGACATCATCAAAGCGAAGAGCAGCGTGCGGATCCCCTTTGCTCCTTTGATCAGACGTAGGATGCGACCAATCCTGGCAAGTCGGATCACTCGGAACAGGGTCGGGGACACAAAATATTTCTCGATCAGCTCTGCTAGGAACATTCCTATAGGGGAAGAGAAACAACAAAAAGGAAATACTTAAAAATTCATGTTGCAGAATATCACTATTCTCAATAGTTTTATCTACTGTCTTATCTCCTATGAATTCAGACTTAATTTTATATTGAACTCAACTTCTTAGCAATTAACCAATTGAGCAATTACAAAGGAAAATAATTGTAATTACCATTGTGACATTTTCCCACTTTTACCAAGCTCATGGGTTCCTTTTTTCCAAAGTATGTGTGTGTCTGTGTGTGTGTGTGTGTATTTGAGAGCGGTCTTACTATGTAGCCCAGAGTGGCCTTGAACTCGTGAGTCTCCTGATTCAGCCTCCTGAGTGCTGGAATTATAGGCATGTTACCACCACATCTGGTTGCCAAGACATTTCTAAAATTATGTAATGCCCAGTCATATAGAAAATTCAAGCAACGCTATAAAATGCTAAAAAGGAAATATAAGTCACCAATCATAGCTATCTAATAGTCAATGTTTCGCTGAATATGATTCCAGACAGTTTGATATGCAAGCACATCCATACATGCACATATATGTCACATGATTTTGTAGCTATTTGTAATACATTTTAGTCACTTCAACATATGTCATGCAATTCTTTCTGTATAAAGGACAATTCTTATGATTGTATAATAGTCTGTCAAAAAATCACATATAGAAGAATAGCATTTGTTAGTTCCAATGTTTTAGATGAACTGAGTATCTAAATAGGTACATTTTCCTACTACATGAGTATGTGCTTTGATCACCATAAACAGAAGTTGTGTCAAAAAGCATATTTAAAATTTTGTTTTGTATTGTCAAGCCTATGCCCAGAAAGTCTATACACTTAATAGCAGATCAAAAATACTCCTACCCAGGTTCTTCATTACCAAGGACTACACTTCTTTACAATTTTTAACAGAAATTTGTTGACATTTAAATTTATCTTTTATTGTAAATTATTTCCATTTTTAGAAAGTCTATGGTTTTCTCATTTATTGGATATTCTATATCCTTATTTGTTGTCTTTAAATTTTCTCTTTGTGGTCAAGTGAGATTTTTGTCTATTTTTATTTTTTTCCATGTTTTTATTAACTCAGTTAAGTGTACAATGTGGGGATTTCATTGTTATATCTATGTATTCATATCATATACTTTGATCATATTTGCCTTCAATTCTTGTGTGTGGTGAGTGTTCTTCATTTGAATATTGACATATTTTCAGTTTATCACTCTCATTGTGCAAAAAGATGCATTGACATTTACATTGAATTTATAAATTAATTTACAAAAAATAGTCCTAATTTCAGCAAGTTTTCTTATCTAAATAAAAGATAAGCCTTGCAATTATTTGAGCATTTTTGAACCTTCTTTTTTTATAGAAATCTAATACATTATATGTCAAAGTTGTTAGCAGATTTTCTACTTTATTTTTATTGCAATTGTGAGTTGTTTTTCTTCAAGTATATTTTCCAATTTTTTGTCTAAGTTGCAGAAAATTATTAATGTTGGTAAATGCAATTTAAAATTTGGCCTTTCTAGCTGGGCATGGTTGTGCATGTCTGTAATCCCAGAACTCTGGAGACTGTAGCAGAAGGATCACGAGTTCAAGAGCAAACTGGGCTACATAGAAAGTATCAGGCCAGCTTGAGCAACATAGCAAGATCCTATCTCAACAAAGCCAGATAATCCCATTTTACCCTTTTGGAACTGTAATTGAGTTCAATTTTTAGTTAATGATTTAATACTTTATTTTATATTTATTTATTTATTTACCTATTTATTTATTTTTGAGGCACTGTCTGGCTATGTAGGCCATGTTGGCTTGTAACTCATGATCTTCCTGCCTCAGCCTCCTGAGTGCTGGGATTATTGGTGTGCGCCACCACATGCAAATCTCTTATTTTCAAAGAATGTCATAATATGGTGTGGATAAATGTCATTTGCTCCTTGGTGTTAACATATGAACCTCTTTGTTTTCTTATCTAAATGAACTAGAAGTGACAGAAAGATGCTCTTTTTTTTCTTCCTTTCTTAATTATTATTAGTGTTAGTAGTACAAAATTTAGTTTGTTTCCTTACATCTTAACTTTTAGTGCCACCTCTGGTGATAATTTTTTTAAACTGATTTTAAATACCTTTTCTGAGTTACGTGGCTCTCAGCATTGTACTTCTAGGGTGCATAACCTTTAACTTCTCTGAGACTGTTTAATCATCTGTAAGTTTAATTTGTATTAAATTATCTCCACAGTACTTCAATTTAAAATTTATAGTGTTAAAAATAAATGTAATCCCCAAAGATTAGGCATATGTGATAATGACAAAAAAGCAACACAGTTATGATAATGAAGGGGAAGTCTAAAATCATGTACTGTGATTCACAGACATGACTGGTTGGTTGAGAAATGATTGCATTTTATAGACTGGTCAAGTCTTAGGCTTTAAGAAATCAAGGTAGCATATTTTGAGACTTTAAATTTGAGAAGGGCTAGTGGAGTGGCTCAAGTGATAGAGCGCCTGCCTCGCAAAGCCTGGCAAGCATAAGGCCCTGAGTTCAAGACCCAGTATTGCTCACCCCCAAAAAAATCTGGTTGATAAAACTGGAAATGATTTCATATTCTTGTGTTGATTTTTTTCCAGACATACCTATAAATAAATGTACTAGCCAGCTTTGTAAAGGGTAGACCTGGAAACTGAGTATCGGCAGGAGTTATATGTTCCAGGAGACAGAAATGTTTGACTTTAAGGCCTGTAGTGTGGACCAAGGAATTCTGATCCAGATGTTTTGCCTTATTCCTAAGGTTCCTTCATTCTTCATTGTACTAATTTACCTAAAAGTAAATTTACACTCAAATGCTCACCTTTCAGAATACATGTGCTTATTCATAATTTAAATTTAATTAAGAAATGCCCTTACCTACAATGGAGAGGATCACAACCACAAAATCAAAAATGTTCCATCCCACAGTGAAGTAGTAATGTCTGAGGGAGATCAGCTTCAGCACACATTCTCCAGTGAAAAGGATGATAAAGACCACGTTTATCCAGTACAAAACATCAGTCATGTATTCACTTTGTCCCTCTTTTTCAACCATCATGGTTATCATGTTGAGGCAGATAAGAACCATGATAGAGATATCAAAAGCCTGGTTTGTTACTAGGTCAAATATACATCCCTGGAATTTGTTCTGCAAATAACAAGAATAATAAGTGAAGTAGAGTAAATTTTTAAAGTATTATCTACAAATTAAGATATGCATTAAAGACACATTAAAAATTTAAAATCAAAATGATAACATTATGTTTAATATATATATGTGTATATGTATGCATGTGTATAAATATATAAAACCATATTCATGTGTATACATCTATTTATCTCTCCATTTTGCTTTTTACCCCTGGCCGAGGAATTGGCTTTTGTGGCTTCTTGGAACCCAGCTTTTTCATTGCATTATAGTATTTCTTCTGTTCTTCTGTCATAAAGATATCTTGACCTCCAAGGTAAAGAAATAAAAAATAAATCTAGTTAAAACCAGAATAAGTGTGTAGTTTTTTTCTTTTGGTCCATAAAATAAGTTAAATGTATTAACATAGAAATGAAATCTACATTTTTTGTACATAGTAACTATATATAAAATCTGGTTTAAATGATTGTCTACACATAGGCACATGAGTCCTCATATATAATGTAATATACCTATATAAAACATATACATTACATATAATAATGAATAATTTGATTAATTTTTGATATCCTGGTCCAGATTTTAGACTATTTTCTCATCTTGCATTTTATCTGCTACTTGTCCTATCAGCAATTTTTTAGTTCTTTTCTAAATAACAAATAGGTAAGATTGGAGATAAGGGCAAAATAGTTTCTGCTGGGTATTGAGGGGGAGGAGCGGGAGGGGGTGGAGTGGGTGGTAAGGGAGGGGGTGGGGGCAGGGGGGAGAAATGAACCAAGCCTTGTATGCACATATGAATAATAAAAGAAAAATGAAAAAAAAAAAAAAAGATTGTAAAAATCAATAGCAGTAAATATCTCCCTTGATGAGTTGGCAAATGTTTAGGACTCTTAAAAGTAGTAGAGACCAAGAAAATAACTTAAGTTTCATATTAATTTGCATTTATTTTCATATGTCATCATTCCCTTAACAGAGAAAAAATGAATGCACAATAATATGTATGTAGTACACATTTCATTTTCTATGTCTATATCCACATCTGTGTCTAAGTCTATATTTCTAACTTTTTGGATTTTTAATTCTAACCTCTAACCTCCCATTTCAACGTAAATTCTTTATTGAATTTATATTATACATGATAAAAGTTTTTCGTACTGAGGATGTCACTATTAGCCAGGCCTGAAAGAACTGAAAGATTTTTCCAATTGATTATATAAAAGAAAATATAGTCATTAAAATTCAACAGTAAAAAGCTGCCATCCAAATATGGTCTTTAGTTCATTCTTTACTCATGAATGGTGGTTAGAAGCTGTGTTTATTTCTTCAGGTTCTACTAATTTCTTAAAGTTATCTGTAATTTTTATAGCTGTGCATATTCCACATTGATCTATAATAACACCTTTTAGTAACAACATAAATTAGAACAATCCAAGTAATTAGGAATTCATTTTAGAGAATTTATGGTTCTGAAATCCTTACTTAACCTGTTGGATCCTGGAGTTGAAGATAACCTGGTTGGTGGTAGGGTGAGTGAAGCTAAGAGACGATTTTGAGATGTTCCAATAGAGAGCCTTATGTTGTTCTGTTTGGTTTTACTATAGATTTATATAGGCTTTGTACAAAATGCACTCCTTTAAAGTGCATATGTGGGAGAAATTGTGTAACTCAGACTGTTGTAGAAGACACACTCTAAGTCAATGTACTGCATAGTTAAGACTCAGCTCTGGTGTCAAATTACCTTTTTGCAAATTCTATCTCTTGTCCTAGAGTAAGTTTCCTAATCTCAATAAGTACAAATCACCTCATCATTATGAAGTAAATACATCATTAATTTATTGAGAGGGTCAATTGCAAGAACACATGCCAAACAGTGAGCACAATACAGGTACATGGCAAGCATTCATTTTGGTTACGACAGCTTAAGCATCCTAATGTGAAAATCTGTAATCTGAAATGTTCCAAAATTGGAAACTTTTTGGGAATGGATATGATACCATAAGTGGAAAATTTACACCTGACCCAGTATGATGGAGAGTAATCAAAATGGAGATGCACACAAAATACTGTATAAAATCACCTTCATCTCTTTCATTTTATGTGTATATGAAACATAAATGAATTTCATGCTTAGACTTGGGTCTCATCCCCAAAATATCTCATTGCATGTATGCAAGTGTTTAAAAATCTGGAAAAATCTGAAATTCAAAACACTTTTGGCCTGAAGTCTTCTAGATAAAGGATACTCAGACTGCTTCAAGGTAGTTGTTATTATTAAGGTTGTAGCTACTGAAAGGTTGTTGTTACTTAGAATTTACTCAGAGGTATCCAGGTCTGTACATTTGTGTGATGTGTTAATTTTTCATATTGCATTTATCACTATCTCATATTTAAGGATACAGCATAATATAGGGTAAAAACAATAGACTAAATATTTAAGATATATGAATCTGACTGTTTGAACTTTATTACTCACTAGATGTATGATCTTGGGTAAATTATTTAACTTCTCTGAGCCTTCTATCATTTCTAAGACATTGTCTATAATAATAAACTTTATGGCTGTTCTTACGCATTGAGTTGTGTCACTACAAGTATGTTCAAAGTCCCAATCCCTACCTCAGGATGTGACCTCATTTGTAAATAGTTCTGTCAGAGATGTAATTAAATTATAGTGGGGTGGTAAGGTAGTTTAATCCGTATGACTGATGTCCTTATTAGAAGAGGAGAGAGACACAGAGAAGGAACAACATGTGATCACAGGTCTAGAGATCAAAATTACGCTACCATAAACCAAGGAATCCCTGGACTATCAGAACCTGGGAGATACAGCCAGTCATGGTAGCTCAGGCCTATTAATGCCAGTTACTTGATAGACTTGTGGTTTCAAGGCCAGAGTGGGCTACCCTTCTCCCTTCAGAGATCTTGTGCTCTAATAAATCACAAGCAATTGCTATTCTTGAATTGTTTCTAGAATAAAGGATTTGCTCAGCACTACGCTTATGCTCACACATTTCTGTTCTCCTTCATAATTGTACTGTTTTTTGTTACATTTTGTATGATTGTACATTTATCATATATTGCATTTATCACTATCTCATATTTAAGGATACAGCATAATATAGGGTAAAAACAATAGACTAAATATTTAAGATATATGAATCTGACTGTTTGAACTTTATTACTCACTAGATGTATGATCTTGGGTAAATTATTTAACTTCTCTGAGCCTTCTATCATTTCTAAGACATTGTCTATAATAATAAACTTTATGGCTGTTCTTACGCATTGAGTTGTGTCACTACAGTATGTCAAAGTCCCAATCCCTAGTACCTCAGGATGTGACCTCATTTGTAAATAGTTCTGTCAGAGATGTAATTAAATTAAGGTGGGTAGGGTAAGGTAGGTCCTTAATCCAGTATGACTGATGTCCTTATTAGAAGAGGAGAGAGACACAGAGAAGGAACAACATGTGATCACAGGTCTAGAGATCAAAATTACGCTACCATAAACCAAGGAATCCCTGGACTATCAGAACCTGGGAGATACAGCCAGTCATGGTAGCTCAGGCCTATTATGCCAGTTACTTGATAGAATTGTGGTTCAAGGCCAGAGTGGGCAATAGTTAGCAAGATTCTATCTTGTGAAGGAACAAGCTACACATGGTGGAGCACATATATATGTGGGAGGTGGAAGTAGGATCATGTCTGAGGCCAGACCAGGTCAAAAGCACAAGACCCTATCTGAAAAATAACTACAGCAAAAAAGGCAGCTACTATGGTTAAGTGGTAGAGCACTTGCCTAGCAAGCACAAGATTTTGAGTTCAAAACCCAAGAAGGTATTCTCTCCTAGAGACTTTGAAAAGAACATCATGGTTCTGCCAGTACTTTGAGTTTGGACGTCTGTCTTCCAGATGTGTAGGAAAATAACTTGCTGTTGTCTTAAGCCATCTGGCTTGTGGTGTTTTGTTATGGCAGCACTAAAAAAAGAATAGCGTTGGTGTGAGGATTAATGATATAAAAATCTCAGAAGAATGACTACCTTTCCACATTCAACAAATCCTAATTTTCCTTTGTTTTACTATTTCTTATGCCATAATATAATTTAATGACTCTTTTTGCTCAAGAGTCATATCTTTCATCATTCCCACCTAAGCACCATTCTAACACATACTGCACAAAATAGTAGCTCAGAAGAAAATGAAATAGTTGGTTGTGAAATGTGTTTTGAAAAAATAATCAGTAAATCTTTCTGAATTAATCAATCCTCTATACAGAACATCAGAAAAATGGAGTAATTAGTACATTTTGCTTAAAAAGTTATGATATAAGTACTGGGGGCTTAAGTGCAAATGGTAGAGTGCCTACCTAGCAAGCACAAGACCCTGAGTTCAAATGCCAGTAATGCCTCCCCCAAAAGTTATGACTTAGGAAATTATTTTCTGTACAAAACTTAATAATTTTAAATATACCTATAATTTTATACATGGGCAATTACTTGAAAAAATATATGAGATGCTAATAAAAGTAATTACTAATTGATATAAAATTAAATGATATTTTTGGGAGAATAATTGTTCATTTCTATTCAGTGAAATGAAGACAACACTTGAAATACTTATCTTCTTTTTCTGTTGGTTGAAATTATCTATGATGACACCAATGAACAAATTCAAAGTGAAGAATGACCCAAAGATGATAAAGATGACAAAATAAATGTACATGTAGAGGTTGTATTCATATATGGGCTGCTTATCTACCTATAAAATTAATAAAAGTTAGCAGTATGTTAACAACGATGCTCATTTTCTTTTCACATGGTTTGACAAGGCAGTTCTAAAAGTGCTATCATAGGTAAATTTTATATTTCAGAAGCCACAACATTGTTGAAGCTTAACACAGTTACTCATAAAAACTTACAAAATAATGAACAAGTGTTTAGTAGGTGCTTATGCTTACTATTCACTTAGATACAATCTACAAACAACTATAAAGAACCTATCCACATGTGGTACTTGTTCTCAGATTGGTAGATTAATTTAGTAACTAAACGACCTATGGTATGTACAGAAAACCTGTACAAGAGATGAATCCAAATTTATGTAATTTTTTCTCATTTGGTTATAAAGACATCTTCACTGGACTTCATGACAATACGAACTAGCCAGTAAGTTCTCAAGTTTCTTAGCATGGAATTAATTTTACATAACTTCTTGCAAGATGCTTTACAATATTAAAAAAATAGTACAAACTATGAATAAAAATTACTTCATCTTACTTAATATTTACTAAAGATTTATTATTGCTAGCTTATGTGAAGTACTCTACTTGCTTTATCTTACTGGTAGGCCCTGGATTATGTCATTTTAAAAGCATTTTAGCCATTTTTATTCGGAATAAATTAAGGTTCAGAGAGGGAACGTAATTTGGTTGAAGTAGTTTCAGGGTTTGGACAATGAGCTAGAGCCAGAACCTGAATCGGGCTCTGTCTCCAAAGGCTACACTCATAAACATCAGGTTACAGCCAAATGGGAGTTCTTCATTGTGTTTGTCCACACCAAGGACTCAATAGAGCTATTTGAAAACTACTGAACTAAACTAAGAAAACTTTAAATCATAAGGTTTAGTGTTATATTAACCAATACTTACATTAACAGAATCAACTGCTGCATACATAATATCCATCCATCCTTTAAATGTTGCCTGTAAATATACCATTTACAGAATATGAATATGAAGCTCATACTCTATATCACTGATATATTTTTGTCTATTTACTCTTACAACATTTAGTAAGTAATATTAAATTAGTAAGTTCTTTTGTATTTTAAAATATTAATTCAATATAAAGATAATATGTTTTTTAAAAGACGACAGATTCCCAAGTCACACTCTACATCTTGGTATTAATGAAGTATTCCCAAACTGTCACAATTGCCTGTGAATTTTGCATATGAACTTTTATTTTCCAAGAGTGGACAGAATTTTATGATTAATGCAGGAAAGAATTTTTCTGCATTTTTTAAGGATTCTCCGTGCCAGGAGGAAGTCCTCATTCCATTTTAAGGTAAAACTGAAAGTCCAAAATTGACTACCTATTTGGAAGTAGTATTCAGATGACACAATGATGGGGGTTAAATTACAATAAATAATTAATTCTGGATTAATATATGTCAAGTACAGTAAAACTCTCCTTTAACCACACATAAGTTCTAAGAAAATCCAACTTTATTTTGAAAGTTACACAGTGTTTTATGTTTAATTTCTAGCTAATTGATTATTTAAATAATAACTTATGTCCTTCATTCAACATCTGTTAAAAACATTAAATATTCATGAAAGAAACCACTTACAACTTGAAGCAGAGACAGGTAACCAAGTCCAACATTATCAAAGTTCACTTTTAGGTTTTTCCATCGCACATTTGTGCTAGCATTCATAAGAGCAAAGCACTCGGAACGATTTTCAACTTGATTTATAGGAAACCTTGTCCCATCTGTGGTGTTAACACACTCATAGAACTTCCCAGCAAACAAATTTACTCCCATAATGCTAAATATTAGCCAGAATATCAGACATACGAGAAGCACATTCATGATGGAAGGAATTGCCCCTATAAGTGCATTCACAACCACCTAATATCCAAAAGAAAGAAAAACATGATTAAGACTAGTAGAAAATATTAAATAGGCAACATTAATGAAGAATTAAATAAGTTAGAAAAGCCACCCTTATATATTTAAGATAGCAAATCAACTATCTGACATATATGTGTGTATACATATATATGCTCAGTAGTGTGCCAAAAACGACAAATGGAGACACAAACCCTGTAATCAATGAGTTTACAAATTACGTGATTAACACAGAAAACTATTAACAAAATCATAAAGCAAAGATGACGTTACAATTTAAAGAAAGAAAGAAAAATAAAAAACCAAACACCTGATATTGACAAGATGCACACTGTAGGAGAGAAACATAAAAATATAAATTATAAAAAATTAAGGTCTCATAATTTTAGAAGTAGCAGCATTAGTGATTATCTAATACCTACTAGTTTGTATTAGGTGACATTAAAATTGGGAAGCTTTCAGTGGTTTGAACTTTTTAGATTTAGGTGATTCCACAAAATGAGAGCAATCTTTTCAAGCTCATTATTCTCAGTTTAAAAATACTTTTTATTTAAGTCCTTGGCCAAATGTAGATAAGGCGTATTTTGTCTTTAACACTTCCTTTATTTCTGCTTTTTGGCATTTCCTCTGCTATTGATCACCGATGATCTTGTCACTTCAACTTTCTTCTATGGCAACTTCTGTAGTATTTCTCATTTTCATTTCCTGCTATCCTTCTCACTATGCTTATCACCTAAGCTCATTGATTCTTCTAGTGTTGCCCCAAAACACCTCCACACTCTCTGCTACTGACACTTTTGTCTAGAATGCCTACTTGCCTATGGCTTGGGGCTTTCTTTGCCCCAAAGAAAGCTTCATTGTCACCTCATTGGAAAGCTTTCTCAGACTTACCCAGGCTACTCTGACCTCTGCAGTATTCCTGCAGCATTGTTGCTTATTATATTATATCAGGTACCACAGAATACTGTCCCATTGTCTGCCTGTCCTGTGACACTGGCTCTATTTGTTCTGGTGGACCACAGTCTATTTACCATTCTACTCTGTGCTTTTCATAGCACCACAGCTGATAAATTCTTGGCATTAAAAACCTTAATAATGGAATGATGAGATGTGGGTACTTATTACTGTGTTGAGAAGCCACTTGGTAAAGTTCATTAGCTTAAAAAGTCTTAGTACTCCAAGGAAAGTAGCTACAAAATGTCTCAAAAGCGTTTTTTCATTTATTCTCCAAAATGACCCTGCCATCTAAAGAAATATTTCTTTTTACATGAGAAGCAAACATAAATAAATACATTTCTCCTCCAAATATTTTAAAAACACTTTTCTAAGTTCAACTCAACTATGTTACAGGAAAAAAAAACCCAAAGATCAAATAGTGTAAAACTACAGACTGGCTTAATCATCAAAGGTTTGGTTTTGTAGGAACAAGCATATTCTCTGTTTATGAAAATGCTATATACCATTACTCAAATCCAAGGATCAATGATTAGACTGGGTACAGTCTAACATACTACTAATGCTAAAATTAAGTTAATGTCAAGAATTCTAATACCACCTTTTAATATAAAATTAAATGCAATTTTTCAATTCTTATATAATATATTTTAATTTTGGTTATAAAATCCATTTTGAATAATCATGACCCTCATAGACTTGAGAGTCATATTAACTGGATACATTAAGTAGCAAAAGTTATAGTTGTACTGAGGATACCAGGGCTAGTGATGAAGATCTTGTAGTTTGAAAGATCTCTAATATTCACATGAAGCTACATGAAGCTCAGATTTCTAAGCCCCAAAGTTCTGATTTAGTAGTGTCTGCAATAGGACCCAGGAATTTGCCTTTTATTATCATTAATAATAAATATTATTAATTAGTAACTATTAATTATCATTAATAATAAATATTAATTAATAACTATTAATTATCGTTAACAGTAAATATTATTAATTAATAATTATTAATTTATTAATGATGAATGTTATTAATAATGCATATTATTAATTATCAATTATTAATAATGAATGTTAATTAATAACTATGAATTATTAATAATAAATATTATTAATTAATAACCATGAATTATTAATAATACTTTTTTGGTGCTGGGAATTAAATACAGGGCCTTGTGCATGCTAGACAGGCACTCTTCCACTAAACTACAACCCCAGTCCTTGGTTTTTTGAAATAGGTCTTCACTATGTATCCCAGGGTATTCTCAAACTCAGTTTTCTTACTTTCACCTTCCAAATGTTGGGATTACTGTTGTGTGTCACCATGCCCAGCTAGAGTTTTGCATTTATAATAAGTTCTCAAATGTTACTGATAGCTGGTCAGTAGAATCAGCAAGCTAGATTAATCTCCATGTTAAATTGCTCAGAGATTACAGGTGGTGAGATTGGGAAATAAATAAGTAAAATATAATGTAATAAGGTCTCAGGTATGTAATCATAGAGGAAGAATCCCCATTTATCCCTGGCGGTATACAGACAAAGCAAATTCAAATTAAGACTAAAGGTAGATAGATGTTTGTATTGATAGTGTACTGATTGGTATAATGATGGTGATGAGTTGGGGTGAAACATCAGGCACAAGCATTCCAAACTGACAGAACAACAGAGGCACATGAAAGCAGGTATAAGTTTGGAGAGAAGAAAGCTGAGAAGAATAGTGACAAATGAGGATATGGATTAATTATAGAAAGGACACTCATTGTCTTCCATGTGTGTTATGAAGAAGTTGCTGATTTAACACAGCCCTTAAGGCGAGGTTGGTGGTAGTCGTTATTTAGGTCATGTCTCTGCTAAATGAATCTCTTTAAAAATACTATGCAGCTTAGTGTAAATGAATTAGAAACTTTGGGAACTTTAGTTTTCTTTAAGTGTAATTTTGATATAATTCCACATTGAAGCATTATTATAAGGACAAAACTAAATACCATGACTATTGTTACTTCGCTTCCTTCCCTTATTTTATACTCTCTACCCAGGGAAGTTCACTCATCAAATATTATTTGAGAACCTGATATAGGCAAGTCCTCGACTTGTATATGAGAAGAGAGGTGGCATCAGGACTAACAATGATCTAGTCACTTGAATTTCTAGCATAGGGAAGATTTCCACTTAGAAAGGAAAAAGTCACTTATTTGGATCATTTGATTTCCTAACAATATTATATAAAGGCGAGATTGCTGTGTTGATTTATTCCTTGTTAAATAACATGCACTCTAAAGTACTGTGTGTATGTGTGTACATACGCTTATTATACACAACCAGCCCATATGTGTATATAAATATTGATACGTGTGTGTAAATAGAAACAGTTCACAATTACATTTTATTTAAAATATTTTATGCCACATTTAAAAAATAAGAACATTACATTAAGAAGTTCAGTATTTTCTTACCCTCATTCCTTCAAATCTAGATAAGGCTCTTAGAGGTCTTAAAGCTCTCAGCGTCCGAAGGGATTTAATGGGGCCAAGGTCTGAATAGCCAAGAGTGCTGGCTACTAAAGTAACCAAAGAAACCTGCAAAAAACATTTATATTAATGCTTTTAATGAAATGATGAAATATAAAGGGTAAAAGTCAACACCAAAGCTTTCAAAGAAAAGCTCAAAAAGAACAATATAATTTTCTGTACAAAGTTATATAGTCATTCCCCCTAAAATAGGCAATATGGGAACTTTTGTGAAGGTGATAGATTTCACAGAAGGGTAAATAATAGAAAGAAAGTAGACTATTATATCTAAATAGAAATACACATAATTTTCATATTTTTAGAATCTAAATTAGTATACTTATTAAATGTGAAATTTAATCATAGAAATTGTCAAAATTTTAATTGAAATAAAACCCATGGCATAACAAAACATGTGATTCTGAAAACACCATAAAAGTGCTACATTAGCTCAACCAAATCTAAACCTGAGTATAAACCTATTCGGAAGCAGTCCAAAGACTCGAGATTTTGAGATTGGGCAAATTTCTGAATGAGATTGCTGCTACCCTTCAATTTCTCAAGATCAATACTAAATATCTACCTTTCAATAATTTACAGAAGGAATTCTCAGTTATATTAATGACAAAGTGAGACTAGATGATCTTCCTGGCTTTAGAATAGACCCAAATATGTAAGAACTTTGACATGTTAGGTGAAGTAGCCACAATGACCATAACCAGTATTCAACAGGAGTTGTTTTCTTTTCATAAGTTATCTCAAAAGAAAGAACATGGGACAGGAAAGAAATCAATCATCTTAGGCTTAGAATTGAAAATGTATTAGTCTCTGAATGCATTTCAGAGACTATGCCTTCATGTGAACTAAGGTAGTGACTAAGGACTGAATTTTTCCAGAGAAGAGGAACACCTAAAAGTCAATGTTCTTATATTCACCTTTTAAGGAGTGAAAATATTTGTCAGTTACAAATTCACTGTTGCTGTTGTTTGAGGCAAGTAAATTGATTCATAAAATAGGACATGTTAAAGTGCCTTCATGTAATTATATTAGAATATCTCACTAAATGTAACATTATTGTTTCCTTTGAATTACCTGTGATTTGTAGAATTAATTGCTTTTTTTTAACCAGTCTTGTTAATTCAGTCATTGAGGTCCACTATTTCTCACTTAAGTACCCGTTAGAAAGTAGGTATACTCATAAGACAGTTGGAAGAAATAAAAGGGATTGCAATAGAGAAAGAAGTCAAATTATCACTATTTTCAGATGACATGATATTCTACCTAAAAGACCCTAAAAATTCCACAAAAACCCTCTTAGATATCATAAATCTTTTTGGGAAAGCACTAGGGTACAAAATTAATACATAAAAATCAGTAGCTTTTCTCTTCACCAACAAGGAATAGACTGAGAAAGAAATTAGGAAAAAATTCCATCAAAATAGCATCAAAAGTATCAGGAATAAATTTAACAAAGGAAGTGAAAGAACTCTACAATGAAAACTATAAATTGCTTAAGAAAGAAATCAAAGAAGACATCAGAAGATAGAAAGCTCTCACATGTCCATGGATCAACAGAATCAATATTGTGAAAATGGATATACTACCAAAAGAAATTTGTATGTTTAATACAATCCCCATCAAAATTCCAATGAAATTCTTCACAGAGATAGAAAAATTAATCCTAGAGTCATGTGGAAACACAAAAGACCTTCAATAGCCAAAGCAATCCTGAGCAAAAAAGGGCAATGATGGGGATATCAAAATAATTGACCTCAAATTATCCTAAAAAAGCATGACAGTAAATACAGCATGGTACTCACAAAAAGACAGTATAGAATAGAAGACCCAGACATAAATCCATAGAGCTATAGCTATTCAGCAAAGGAGCCCAAAATATACGTTGAAGAAAAGACAGACAGTCTCTTTACCAAATGATTCTGGGGAAACTGGACACGGCACATAGAAGACTGAAATTAGATCTCTGTCTCTCATCCTGGCTAATATCAATTCAAAGTAGATGAAAGATCCCAACATAAGGCCTAAAACTCTCTAACTGCTACAAGAAATAATAGGGGAAAGACTGAAACATTAGGCACAGACAATAACAAACTCTGATAGCTCAGCAAATAAGAGACAGGGGACTGCATCAAATTAAAAAGCTTCTGTACAGCAAAGGAAACAATCACTAGACTGAAGAGACAGCCTAAAGAATGGGAGAAATCTTTGCCAGCTATACATCTGACAAGGAATTAATAACCAGAATTTACAGAGAACTCAAAACCAAAACTCCAAAGTAATCAGCAACCCAATGAATAAGTGGGCAATGAGCTAAACACTTTTCAAAGGAAGAAGTACAACTGGCCAATAAATACATGAAGAAATGCTCAACATCCTTGGGCAATCAACACAAATGCAAATCAAAATGACATTGAGATTTTCACCTCATTCCAGTCAGAACGGCTATCATCAGTAATTCAAACAACAACAAATGTTGGCAAGGATGAGGGAGAAAGGAACCCTTATGTATTGTTGGTGGGAACGTAAATTAGTACAACCACTATGGAGAGCTGTATGGAGGTTCCACAAAAAAAAAAAAAAAAAACTAAACTAAACTAAAATAGTTCTATCACAAGATTCAGGAATACTGCTCCTGGGTATATATCAAAAGGAACATAAATCAGGATGCAACAGAGACACTTATACACCTGTGTTTACTGCAGCACTATTCACAATAGCTAAGCTGTGGAACCATTCAGATGCCCCACAACTGATCAATGGATCAAGAAAAAAATGTATATGTACATGTACACAGTAGAGTATTATTCAGCTATAAAAATAAATGAAATTATGTCATTTGCAAGTAAATGGATGAAACTGGAGATCATCATGTTAAGTGAAGTAAACCAGGTTCAGAAAGACAATGGTTGCATATTTTCATGTTTTCTCTCATATGTGGATAGATCCAAAAGACAGATGTATACACAAATATAAACATAGTCATATATATATGCATATATATATGTATGACATGTTTATAATAGTGAGACTCTGAGTTGTCTCAAAGACTAGGGAAAGGAAGGAGAGGAAAAGAGAATGATAGAGAATGAATGTTGAAATTAATTTCATCTGTGTAGGAAGATGGAATTTTAACAGGACTATTACTTAAATTATAAATTTTTAAGTTACATTTCTTTTGATTGCAAAAAACATACAAAAGTACATTATAAATGTTAGAATGGCACAGAAGAGAATTCACATTGTTGAAGAATTTCTGTTCTACTATTTATCATACATATGCTGTTAGTATTGCTAAAATGTAAACCTATTCCTGAATGTACAAAAATTAAAATCTGATCATATATAACATTGGTGAATATTTCCAAGAATAAAATAATGATCATTTAAAGTTTATTGAAAGGACTTACATCAACAATTAAGAAATCCAGCCAACACCAAGCATTGGTGAAATATGTTTTATAACCATATGCTACCCATTTTAGAAGCATTTCCAAAATGAAGATGTAGGTGAATATCTTGTCAGCATAATCCAGGATAGTCCTAATAGTCTTTTTCTTTTCAATATATATATCTTCAAAAGCCTGTAGGAATAACATTAAATTTCAATTCATGCACAACTTGAAATTTAAGATTTATAACAGAAGCAGAAAATACAATTCTGATGGTAAGACAATTGCAATACAATACTGTTGGGAGCCAGCCATTACTCCTTTAGTTTAAAGCTACCGCATAATAATTGGTTATAGCCTTTTACCAGTTGCTACCAGAGGCAAATGGAGGGAATGAAATTATTTATAATCCTCTGAGAGAAATGGGATTTCTGACATCTGTCGTGATTTTTACCTTCATCTGACTCTTCTTTTCTCCTCATTCTAATTGAAGGAGTCCTGATATTTAAAACACCACCAGGGAGTCTCAGTTCCTCTTATAAACCTTTTCCTTTCTACACTTTCCTTTACATCTCACATAAGATTTAGAATCTCTTTTTGGCTCTTACATGCTTGTGCACTCCAGTGCCCACCACTTTATCAAGAACATAGCAGGAGGTGAGGAAAAGTTTGCTAAATGAGGGTTGCAGTAGCTATTGAACAAAGAGGAATCTTCTTTCTAATTTGCAGCCATGTTTCATAAATCATCAAAAGCTTTGACTCTGCTAATCACTGTTACAATCACTCCATGGATGTGCTACTCACATTTTTCAAGAACTTTTAGTAAGTGACAGACAATGATGTTGTGGTCATAGTCATAAATCCCTTAGGAAATAATTTGAATGGACCTAAAGAATTGAACTCACTGAGACACTGGAAATGATTCCTGATCTAAACAGGTCTAAATAATTACAATTTTCTTTCATGATGAAGCACTACTCACCTTATAAGAAGAAATAAAGTCCAAGTGACCTTTAACCCTAGTGGTTTAACACTGTATTACCTGTCTTAAGATAGAAGGGTGTGTGTCATTCTCATTCTATTGCCCCAAGTTCTACTATCAATACTTTAGAAAATATCCTCAGAGTTTCTGTAACTATTGATCACAATATCAAAGAAAACAGAGAAGTTGAGGCAGAGAGAATGAACAGATTTGGAAGACGCACAAAAATGGTACCAGCAGCTGTCCAAGGCTCTCAAATACCAATTTAGGGAGCAAGAAGGCAAAGTTGTCATTAAGTGAGTACTACCTGATTTATGACTTAAGCTTTATTGATACTCACTTTTTTTTAATTACCTCTCATTTATTTATTCGGTTTTATTTATGTATTTATTTATTTATTTTGGTATATTCTCTTTTTACTGTGAAAAAACGTAGCCTTCAAAATTAGACCTCAATTAAGTTATAGCTCTGTCATTTACTAGTTTTGTGACTTTAAGTAACTATTTGAATTCTATATTCAGCTTCCTCATTAGTAACATGAGGAAAATACCATAATTCTACAGAAGTATTTAAAAATTAAATGGGAAACATTTTAAATACAATAAATATGCACCAAATGACAGCTATTACTTTTTATTGATCTTTAAACAGGTATTTTTAAAACTCTAGCTTAATTGGCAAAGTCCCTGAATAAAAACCACCAATTCTTGAAATCTTTTTTCCTTTTCTCTCTCATATGATTAATTTGAATTCCAGCTCTGAGAATGCTTTCCCCTAAAGTGCCATCTTAGTTTTTTGAGATTTTTTTTTTTTTTGGCAATACTGGGGTTTGAACTCAGGGTCTTACACTTGCTAGGCAGGCACTCTACCACTTGAGCCACTCTACCAGCCCTTTTTTGACATTTCAAACAGGTAATAGAAATTGCCTCTCAGAAAGTTTTGGACATACATGATGCAGCATGGAAGAAAAACTTCTATAGTTACTGAAACATAAAATGTTATAACTAGTATTAAGATTCTTACTTGCATGATACCAGATAAGGTAAAATAGCCCTTTTGTTATTATATTTCCTGTTTTCGAGAGACAAGACATGTCTGAAGAGGCAGTCCTCTCAGGGCCCTGACGGTCCCTGAGTGTTTTTGCTAGATATTCCAAAATGTAAGGCTTTCACTGCTCTTTTCCCAGGCACTTCTCGGGTTCAAGTTTATGGCAAGTAAACATGAAGGAAGTACTAGTGTTTCCCTCTGGAACAGAGATCATATATAAGCTTACTGCTTGTTAAAAAAGGTTGGTTTCCTTAAGTTCAGTGTTCCTCTGTTAACCCTCCATGTGTGCAGCATTCATCTTGGATCTTACACATAGGACCTGGGTGTAGGGGAACCAATGCCAAAATGAGGTAGCTCATGTTACTGTCTGCTTGTGTGCAAATGAAATCCTATGTCTTAGCATCTTTTATCTTATGATAGCATTCACAAAATGGCAACAGAGTAACATGTTAGCCTTTGGGCAGAGCAAAATTAAGTTCCAGATCTGCGAAGGCTGTCTATAAAGCAACTTGTGAAGTCTTGAGCATTCTGTTTTTAGAATAATGGAACCTCTAGTAGTATACTTAGCTTGATCAGGGTTCCAAAAGGCTTCTAATGGCTCATCTCTATTAGTCAGTAGGAAAAAAAGATAATTATGAAAGGCTCAAGGAAAGTTGTAACTCTCCTAGATATTTTTCAGAGCAGGTGCTTATATATGTGCAGGAATGAAAAACTTGTCTCATTTTGCCCTAAAACTACCATCTGCTTTTATAAAAGCATGGTATTGCTCATGACTTGAAACTGCTTATTTTTCTCGTAGTATGTCTGGCCACCTGTACTCGTTCTTCCTCCCACAGTATTCCCCATAGTTCAGCAAATTTTAATTTCCTGAATATTTCATGCTGGTATGTTCTTTCTTATCATCCTACACTTGTTCCCCTCAACTCATGTTGCCTGGATGAAAAATACTTGTTCTTTCTAGACCTTGCAAAGCATCATTTACCTTTCTGAAATTACAAGTGAACAATTGTTCTACATGCTGGGAACTTTATGTATACACTTCCCTTATAACTGCATCCCAGTTTTGTAATCACTGCTTGTATCTCTCTTCCCTCTTACCCTCTCAGATTCTTGAGAATAGCACCTGTCTCTTTTCAGTCTCTGCATTCAGGGAAGCATGAATAATGCCTTGCGTGTGGGAGTGCTCAGTAAATATTCATTCAGCTCCACTACATTTTTGTTCTTGGTAATGATAAGGATTCATTCTTAAGTAAAACAGGTGGCAAGGCCATGATATTTTTATCTTTTGGATCACTTATTAAGTATACTGACAATCAATTCACTGACTTAGATGTCAGATCACTTACCAGAGCTCCACTGCTGAGAAGGATCATAAGAACAATGAAGCTTTCAAACCAACTGTGTTCGACTATCCTATAGCAGGTTTTCCTAATGTTCCACCAGATTTTTCCTTTGCCTGACTCTACGTTAACTTGGCAGCATGGAAATCTCCGTACACAACCTGGCAAGAAAGACATGCATGCAAAATCTTGATATTCAGAATAAATAAAATGGTTAAAAATAGATTATTAACTGAAAACTTTCTCTCTGATACTCTCACAATCCAATAATTTCTAAAACTATCCCTATAGTTTCAGGTAGATTCATTTTTTTTTAAATAAAGCAAAACAAAAAAGTTAATGGGACTTTTCACAATGAATTGTTATATACATAGACTGTATAGCTATAAGGTCATCTTTTTTGTATCACCCAAGTTGTCATGGGAATCAATAAACTGCAGTTATCTTGCTGTTATAATGGATTTTTACTATGTCTTTTTTTTTTTTTTTTGAGGCAGAGTCTTCCTGTGTAAAGCCATCCTCCTGCCTCGATTCTTGAGTGCTGGGATTAGAGGTATAAACTACCATGCCTAGTTTGACTGAGCCTTACTGGTGACATTTTTTCTCCTGGTTTCTCATTTTAAGAAAAAAATTCTTTGAACACTTGTGATTCCTTTTTTTTTTTGGTACTACATCTTGAACCACTCCACCACTCCTTTTTTTGTGATGAGTTTTCAAGGGTCTCATGAACTATTTGTCCAGGCTGGCTTCAAACTGCCATCCTGATCTCTGCCTCCTAAGTAGCTAGGATTACAGGCATGAGCCACCAGTGATTTCCTTTTAAATTACTTTAGGGGAACACAGCTGTATATTTCTCATGTAACATGTTTTTTAGGGAAAATCACTGCAAAATTGATGAAAAAAATACTGTTATTTCTATCTCGGTCATCCATGATGTTCCCTCTGGGGTATATGATACAAAAGCAGTGAAGACTACTGGTGATTTAATAGCAAAGGAAAGCCTATTAAAATATAATGCTGTCCTTCCAAGTTGTAAGTAGCAGTGTCTCAAATGTAAACATAGATTCTGTTTGGATGCCACCTTTTATCACCTTCTGAATTTCATGGCTCTTTCCTCACATTTATTAATAAATTTTAACCTATAAGGGATTGTTGTTCTCTGTAATTCCCTAATTTCTACTTCCTTTCTCCATACTGTTTAAACCACTTTTATTTAATAAATGAGCCAACTAAATTCTGAGGGTAAAACGCATTTCAGGGCCTTCTTTCTGACAGATAGATAATATATGTGAGATGATTCCACTCCTGTTTTAAAAACTTTTGAGAAACATCATCCTAAACAATATTATGGAAAGTCATGGAATGTCATTAAAAGATGCAAATGAAATTGTTTAAACTACTTTAAATTTACAAAATCTGACTTGGTACTACTTGGTATAAAACCTAATGCAATGAAAAAGTGAAGAAATTTCTATGTAAAAATGTTTATGCTTATGTATTAATCCATTCATTTGTTCATCAAGCATATGTTTATATGTCCTATGTGCTCAACTCTTTAGGTAGTTTTCTCTCTTCAGGGAATTTATTTTTCATTTTAGTTAGGAAGACAAATGCAGAAATGAATGTCTATAACTGGCTATAAAGGGTATTTTGAGAACATGGAAGGCATTCACCTAACCTGGCTTGTTTATTGAGAAGAAGAGATCAGAAGAGGTTCCCTAGAAGAGGTGGAACTGAAATGAATCAAGATATCAGTTTAAGGAAAAAAACATCAGGAGGAATTCCAGTACAAGAATACTGCAAAAAAGAGTTACATGTAAGAATTATATTCAGTTCCTAATCATGAGGAAAACAAGATACATAGGTGAGAGTTAAGGTTAGAAAAATATGTCAGATTATGAAAAGCATTTATCTTAACTTAAGGAGTTAGATCTATGACTTAACAGAGGTTGAGGAGTAAGTGAAGGGGTTTAAGCAGAAAATGATATGGACAGTTTATGCAATTTAAATGAATATTTCCAACAGAATGTAGAGTAAGTTGGGAGGGGGAAGACAGAGATGGGTAGGAGTGAAGAAAGACCAAAGCCAAAAAAGCAGTTAAGATTCTGATACCATATCCCTGTCAAGTGAAATAATTAGTTACTTTAGTTAGGAACTAAAGCAACAACATATTTAAGACTTGTCAGGTCAAATTAGCAGGATTTGGTGACCGATGTCAGCCATGGTCATAAAAGTAGGAAATGATTTGGATGATGATAAGTTTGAGATGCCTGTGAGACATCTAAACACATATATCTGGTGGATATTTGGAGGCATGAATCTAAACCTCAGGGGAAAAAGCTAGCTAAAAGTGAGTATGTAAGAATCATTAATAGACATGTGTCAGCTGAGGTCAGGATCATTTTTAACAGTCACACAAAGTATGTGGACTGAGAAAAAAGGTTCAAATCTGGAATGCTAATAAACACTAGAATAACAATATTAAAGGACAGAATTCAACGGGGTCCTGCAGCAAGCCCATACTGCTCCATAATCACTATTAAACTGTCAGGAACTACTGTTAGTCTGTTGTTAAAAGCAGCCATTAGTAAAAATTAAATTACATAAAGTTAGAATTAAATATTTACTTAAAAAAGGTAATAAATGTTAACAATTCATTTTTTTTCTAATTCACTGATTTCACTCTTATCCAGCCTTTTTTTTTTTTTTTTAAAGCTGGAGCACAGGAGCTACAGGCAGAAAAGAAACTTTATTGATAGAGAAAGGCTGAGGGGAGAGATGAAAGCTGAGTCCAGAAACAGGGTGCCCCCTGAGCACTGGAGTGGGAGGTTTTATATTTTTTCTCTTTAATTAATTTTTTTATTCATTTATTCATATGTGCATACATTGTTTGGGTCATTTCGTCCCCTGTCCCCTAACCCCCTCACTTCCAGGCAGAACCTGTTCTGCAATTTTCTCCAATTTTATTGAAGAGTAGACATAAGTAATAATGAGAAAGACATAATGTTTTTGCTAGTTGATATAAGGATAGCTATACAGAGAGATTCCTAGCATTACTTTCATGCACAAGTGTATTACAACCCGAATTGATTCATCTCTACCAGACCTCTTCACTACTTCCTGGTCACCTTCTCAAATTGACCTCTGTCATTTTAATGTTACTGTATTAGCTCCTCTGCAGTGGGCACATCAAATATTTTCAAGTTTTGGGTTTCCTACCTTTCCCTATTCCTCTTGTATGTGTTCTCCCCTTAGCATGTGACCCATGTCCAATAATGGGTCACTCAACAAAAATGCATTTGTTTTAGATCTAAAGTCCACATATGAGGGAAAACATACGATTTTTGGTTTTCTGAGCCTAGCTAACTTTGCTTAAGATTATGTTCTCCAGTTTCACCCATTTACTTGCAAATGATAAGATTTCATTCTTCTACATGGCTGAGTGAAATTCCATTGCATATAAATACCACACTTTCTTAATCCATTCATCAGTAGTGGGGCATCTTAGCTGTTTTCATGACATCTTAGCTGTTTGGCTATTGTGAATAGCACTGCAATAAATATGGGTGTGCAGGTGCCTCTGGCGTAACCTGAGTTGCATTCCTTTGGGTATATCCCTTGCAGTGGGATTGCTGGATCATATGACAGATCTATGTTTAGTTTTTTAAGAAACTTCCATATTGTTTTCCAGAATGGTTGTACTAGCCTGCATTCCCACCAGCAGTGTATGAGGGTTCCTTTTTCCCCACATCCTTGTCAAGATTTGTTGTTAGTGGTGTTTTTGATGATAGCTATTCTAACAGGGGTGAAGTGGAATCTTAGTGTGATTTTGATGTGCATTTCCTTTATGGCCAGAGATGGCGAGCATTTTTTCATGTTTTTTGGCCATTTGAAATTCTTCTTTTGAAAAAGTTCTGTTTAGTTGCCCATTTCTTTATTGGTTCACTATCCAGGATTTTGAGACACACTGTCTTTTCCATCTAGATGGAGGAATTATGTTTAACTAGTTGGATGATGTGCATCTCTATCTAACTTTACCTCAGCAAAGTCACAGATATGAAACCAGCCATCATGGGAAACTGCACATTGTCAAAATCATCATATGCTTCTTGATATTTTTAGAGCACATACAAAACAGTGATAGAACAAGCATTAATAACTCATATAAATAGCAAAGCACGTCATGTTAGAAAACCATTACACTGTGAACAACACAAATAATCGAGAAAATATTCTCTCACTATTCACATTCTACTGTCTGGTTAACAAAAAAATTACTCATGTCATTAATGCATAAGTGAAATTCTGACATAGTTTCTTTGCTTTATTCTCATTTTACTGATTAACATAAATGAAAACATCAACCAACCTTCATGTCAAAACTGCACTTTTTAATCAAGTGCAATTGCTGGTTTTCTATTAATACAACTTGGCAAAATTCAACAAACATATTCTATAAGACACAATTATATATATGGAATGTATAATAAAGAAGGTTGGATATAATATTTGTAAATTGTGTTCCCCTCATTGTTAATGTGAGCAAATTTTAAAATAAAATGATGTATGCACGCATATTTTCTTTCCCCTGAAGAATCAGTTGTTAAAAATTGACATGCATACCACTGGGACAGGTGGAAGAAGAGAAAACTTTAGAGGAGAAGGAGACAAAGTAGGAGAACCAAGACTTTGGTAAAGAGAAGTCAGGAAGTAAGAAGTTTCATGGAGAACAGACAAAGAATCAAGAGCATGAGAGGTCTAGAATGACCATAATCGAACATTTTTAAATTAATTGGAAAAAATTTAAGTTGATTAAAAAACTCCAGTATTATTTCAAAGAAAAGAATTTAAAAAGCGTAACTTTAATTAGATCCCCTCAAAAAATTTTAGATGACAATAGTCATTTTAGATGAAGATATCATATGCAAAACAAGATTGGATAGCAGGGATTTTTTTTGATACTGTTTCAGAAGTTTGAATTTTAGGTAGTTTTAACAAATTATTTTCCTTTTCTATAATATTACTTATTTCAGTGTTGGGGATGTGCTCAATGGTAGAATACTTGCCTAATATATGCAAGACCATGGATTTGATCCCTAGCCAGACAAAAAAGACATAGCTTATTAAAAAAAATTGACACTTTCAAGTGAAAGCTTCAGGT